ATTATTATCATCATTATCCTAAGATTATTTTTTCTCCACATATCTTGCTTCCTCTGCTGGTTTCATTGTAAGTGGGTTTTGTTACACCGCTTGGTTTACATAGCGGAGCGAGGTTGCCTTTTCAGGTAGAAGATTATCGACTTTAAGCTGCTCTCACGGCTTTGACTGTTTTTTTTTGCCAGTTTTCCAGTTATCTTCGGTAATCATTCAATCACACATCGCCTAAGAAACTAACCAAGTAGAAGTGGATACAAAGACTGCGGGATCAGAAGCCGTTGCGCAGACGGACCACACTGTTTAGAAAATCAGACCCAATATTTTGAGTGTTACAAAGATATCGATGACGCACAGGAAAAGTATATGTAGTATCGAATCGCATCTAGTTTTGGCATAGCTGAAGTTCACCAAATGGGTATGAATTTTTAACGTCATAGTTTACACAAGTTTTTCTAATTTTCCAAAGGCGCCTGGATAAAAACAAAATTAGAACAATAGAGGATGGAACACTCAAGCGGTTCACAAAAATAGGAGAATTGTAAGTAAGAAACGAGATGCTCATTAAGAAATTAACGCCCGCAAATGAATCATGGTCATTAAAACAATAGCCGAGGTTTGATGTCCTAAAGCATATGAATAGCTAAATCTTAGTTGCTGCATAGTTAGGACAAGTGCTTTTGCACTCAATTTGAATTACTCTCTCTGAGATAGATTTCAATCCCTATTTAAGTTTTAATTTGCTTTTCGTTGACATAATCTCGAAGTGTATAGCATCGCATTGAAGATAAAGTGGATTGCTAAGAGAGATGCTTCACGAGATCATTGTTTCGAATTTCTGATGAAGACACTTTTACCATCTTTCACTATTTGGATTTACATTTTAGACACTTACCTGACAATCAGCTGAAATCTGTGCCCGATCTACCCGGAATTCAAGCGCTGGGAGTTATGTGAGTTTGAGTTTTTCTCGATTATAGTGCTGCACTAAACACCGGAGTACGTACATACATACAAACGTTAGTTGACCACTCCCCATGGGGGCTTTTCAGGGCCAATT